AGGAAAAGCTTAAAATATTAGAGAGGCACTACTAGTAATGTGAAGCAGGAATAGGAAATTTTCCCAGGTTGGAGGTCATATTCAGCTTCTCAAATAACCAGTGGATAGCAGGAAATATTCCAGTGATGTGGTGATGTCACTAAAGGGGTAACATCATCAGCCCATGTTTTCTTCATAATTTGGGGATACACTATTCCTACACTTATTTTCACATTTTAAATCTGAAAGTCATACTGCCAAAATATGGCCATTTTGCTGCCTAACACGAGATAGTGTACTCACAGATGGAGTGCTGGGAATCACAAGGCTGTTGGTTTCCCACCCCTGATATAGACAATGCTGACTTAGACCAGTTTGTTCTTTCAGTATTTGGAGCTTCCAAATGGGAGAAAAATATCTGACTTCCTCTCTCCCCTCCTCCAAGTTCCAGTCTTCTGACCCACACAGAATCTTGGTCTCCCAATCCCCTTTCTAGTTTTTCTTTAGGCAGGACTGCTGAGAAAAGAAAAGAGGAAAGATGATCCTCTAAAGTCCTTCTTGAAAAAAGAGAAGAAATCTGGATTTGACCTTTCTATTCAAGTCCTCCATGTCTGAGTTATTTATTTAAAGTAGACTGGGGTAATTTAAAAATGAATATGTTAGTCAATAGCCATAGTATTATTCTTCCTCCAATTCTCCTCTTCTGATTGCATAGTTTTAGTATATAATGTTATTACTTTTTATTATTCCTTAATTCCTGATGCTACGCAAACACACTGAGAGTTTTTTGCACCGGTCAAATTCCTTGTATGTCTTCTACTTGGCCAAAAAAGTATTTTCTTCCTTTCTTCCTTTTCTCTTTTTGTCTGTCTGTCTGTCTGTCTGTCTGTCTGTCTGTCTGTCTCTATCTATATTAAGATACTTGCTTCAGTAGTATTGCATGGTACAGCTTTAAATAAATAACAGCCAACACTGATAACTGCAGTTATTGAACTGATGCAACTCGGTAATTTTTATTGCAACTGGAAGACAATACATCACAGAAACTTTATGGTAGGTTTTGGGAGAGTGTTATTTACAATAATAACTGATGAAAGAGTTTGTCTTTGGCAATATGATTACACATCAAGAAACATAAAATGCAAGTATGCCTCTAGATCAACATTTTCCCATATTTCTGGCTGATTGCACTTGCCTTTTGACTGCTCATTTAGGTAAACACAAATACAACTTAACATTACTGTTTATGTCCCCCATCACAGTTCTCATTTATGTTAAAGAAACTGGCAGTTCCATTCAACTAGTACAGCATTTTAGGGGAAAATAGGAATAAAAACCAGAAAAGGAAAAAGAAAAAGAAAAAGAAAAAAAATTGGCTTATTGCTGTACTAAATTAACCTATTGGCCAGTGAAGGTCTCATGACCCCTAAAGCATTGATATTGTATTTATTGGTCTTTTGATTGCTTCATCACTTTTTTTTTCTGCAGAACAAAAATATTTCAAAAATATTACAGAAGAGTATAAAAATGTACAAATCCATAATGCTTTTTCATACACACAGAAATCATTCCCTACCCCATCCCTTCCAACATTTGACACCAAGGCAGACTGAAGTAGTGAGTGTGTATAATACAAAAGTGAAACCAGGGTAATTGATCAATTTCAAAATTCGTTAATGAAAGTATTAAAACAGAAGTCCAAACACCAACATTTTCATCTTAATAATAGTATTGAAGGGAAAACCAAATCAGGTTCAAGCCAGGTAACAAAAAATCCAAACCTGTAAGATATATTCAGTCATTGGATCTTATGCTCAGAAACATGTATTAGTATAGAACAATCCAAATGGCCCTTTTTAGCTTCTGCACACAAACCTAGTAGGAAAATGTGTGTGCAAACTCACAACTCTAATTCCTAATTTAATTTCTATCAGTTGTCTTTTGGGTGGGAGGCTGGATTGAGCTGCTCTTCCACAATCAAAAGGCTGTTTGGTGGATTTCTGACTTGACTTCTCTTTTTTTAAAGCTTAAACCTGGGTATTTGGTGTGTACTTTGTTGGAACTGGGTGGTAGGTAGGTAGGTAGTTCTTCAGAATTGTAAAAACCGAGGCATTCCCCCATACTCATTGGCAAATAGGTTCACAAAAATAAATTTTGTTTTAGGTAAATATAGTTTCAAATGCTAGTATTGAAAAAAATTGGCATGAGAAGCTGTATGAAAACATTGGTTTTAAAACATTTATTTTTAAATTTTGAATATTGATTAGCAAAATACAGCACCAGAGATTGAATTCAGAGATTTTTTTTGGTTAGTGAAGCAGTGTTGGCATGCTGAGTTGTGGAAGAATTGCACAGACACAGCTGACTTTGTAAAACCTTCATATCTATAATTTTGCCCTTTGATTCAAGGAAGAGTTTGAAAAAAAAAATGATCCCTGGCTTATCAAAGTCTCTCCACCCAATTTTCCAGTTAGGATTACAGTCAGAAGGGAAGTTTGTATAAAGAAACATGAAAAAGAGTATGAAATGTTCATATATATGATAGCATAGAATATTTAGTAAATACTTATAAAATTCAACTTAAAAAAAATCCTACACCAAGACTATAGATTCATAGGAAAAGTAAAATACATGTGGTTAGCTATGTTTTTAAATTCCTGATAGTAGAAAAAACAGAGTTTGTGCATGGTTCTTTCCATACTGAAGTATTAACATATATTACATATTAAATAATAATAAAGTTATTTAAATTAGATCACAGTGCTGCATTTATGTGCATAACAGTGTTTTATATATTGCAGGCAGTGTCATGAACTTCACTCACAAACTTAATTACTACACAACCAAAAGAAAGAATGACTCTGGTTGGTGGATGGAACATTTACCAAGCCTGAAAATAATTTAGTAGCCAGGACACTGAATTCCACCATGCTAATTTTCTTATTGAAGCCAACTACCTCTGTAGTTTTTGCCTTTCTGCAGGTGGTAGAGAGTCTAGCAAGAACCTGCTTGTATTAAGAAGTAGCACACCATTTCTATTAAAAGAAATACTTTCATTTGCCACAGAAAGTGATTTGGCTTTCAAATCACTTCTGTTCTCCAGTCCAAGACAGATGATCTGAACTGAATGGCAACAACTGCGGACAGGTCTATACAGTTGAAACTGATTCTCTTCTGTGACATAAGACACTGATCGCCACCCATGAAATTTTGCCCATGAAAATTTTGAAAATTTTCAAACAGTTGCCATCTATCCAAAGCTATACAGAAATACAGTGATGGGGACAAATCCTTGTATAACTTCTACGAACATTTTTGCAACCAGCGCAATCTGAACAGCTGATCTAAAGTTCAGAAGGTTTGTTCCAGTATATTACTATTTTCACATTATTTCTGCATCATTTGGAGAAGTCTTTTTTTTTTTTTCAGGGAGAGACATACAGATATGCCCACATCAAGCCTCAATTAAGTTTCATTGTGGAGATGGACCTCCAATCAAGCAGAACTATGCTCAACCACTTTTATGTTGAAAGTTACAACACAGATATACAACAGATACACTTTTAGTCACCAAGGAAATGAATGGAACTCAAAGTATGACCACTACATACTTTGGAGGGTTCAGAATTAAAGCATTGCCTATAAAAGTTCATCAATAAAAAGATTTAATGGCAAACCTAGGTTGCTGACAAGAAAACCTGCAACAGTCCGCTTACGACAAAATATTACTGAGAATTAAATCACAATCCAAGCTGACTCTGGCTTGAATCCAAATTTTATTCCTGCCAATGGGTCCCATCCTCTGACAACTGTTCAGGACATGCTCCTGTTACCATGTTTGGGGAACAGAAATAAATTTCTCCCACACTAGAGATGCAGCCCCTGAAAGTTGGAGGACTTTTCAGCATAATATGGGAGATGATATTTGGGGCTACACAGCGCCTGAATAGTTAACAGTTGTTTCTTCCCTTCTGTTAGTAGAATCATCTACTGTATTTGAACAAAAGCTTTTGGTGGACAGAGAAAGCCCTTTCATTTATGGAAGGAGAAATATGGAGTAAACATTTTACTATTTTTATAGGAAAAAAATCTTACACATTATTTTGATAATCCAGAGTTCCTGCAAAAATGATTTACAGAACATAAAGAGCTGCCACAATTACCCAAATACATTAAGAATGATGTAGGAACAAGATAGATGCATATGCTACAGTGAGTGCATATACAGAGTCTCCTTGCCATTGTGCCACTATGCATACAGCACAGGACTTCCTGAATTCTGCCCATGGCCTTCTGAGATACTCTCAGATTTTGCCATCTTAAAGACCTTCATAGAAGAAGAATGCAACTGTGGGATCTACAGCTTCTGAGGTGGAAGCTAAATGCTTGAAGTGCCTTAAAGTCAATGAGAGTCAACTTACTGGATTAATTTCAGTACTTTATGAGGGAGCAGAGAAAGACCAAATAGATGTTTTGCTTACTGTTGCTTATATCTTCTAGTTATGAATATTCCCCTCTCTTGTTATTTCAAAATGGTTGAAGTGTAGGAATAAAGACAGGCTCATTGTATAGAGGATGCATTTTACCATGAATAGAAGTAACATCTGATATGTTTAACTTGGGCCCATCTACTTTATTTTCAGTTTGGCACTAAAGGTAAGAAGTTGGCACAACAGAATAATGTTGTGGGGCTTGCTTAGATTAAATTATTGATTGTGGCTGCATGATAGAGAAGATAAACTCTTAACAAATTGCCATAACTTCTAATAAGTTCCAGGTACTTAATTTATAACTTGCATACTGCTTACCTCAAATGAATTTTGCCTTATTTTGTAAAAATACCAATTGTGATCACTTTTTGTGCAGTGATAGCTAAAATTATCTTCAGCACATTACTTTTTATTTAAGACATTATAGCTTATGGATGTTCAGTCAATGGGATACAGTCCAGTTGGAAGCATGTTGTATATTACTGTGGGCTTTAGTGGATAAATCAATGAGACAAATTGCTTAACTTTGGATGGATAGCATTCCATCTATATCATGATCATTCATTTCTGAAGGCACTGCCAAATATCAGAACTACTGTTTTTCGTTTACAAAATACTATAGTTGAGACTTTAGACTGAAATGGTATAATCATTGTGCATGCATGTGAGCATGTGTGTAGGGCTTCATATTTGGGGTATAGGAATAAAACCCTGGATGCATTTAGTTATATATCACCAGTACAAAACTCAAAGCCCAAGTTCTGATTCTATCTCAGAAATTATTGTATATATTATCCAAACTATGAGCCTTCAGTATTGGATTTTATTTTTAAATAATGATTTCTAAGAAAGAACATTAAATTTAGATTTTAAAATGGTTTTCTGGGCAAAAATAAAGATTGTAACAGTCAGAATGCTAGTGTAAAAGAATTTGAATTTGTGAGTATAAAGCATATACAATGGCCAAAATATAAGTCAAGAAGTTTGAAGTAAGTTTACTAGGAATGTAACTGCACTACAGACTAAAACATATGCATGTTATTGTATCTAATCAAAGGGATGCAGAAGAGCTATTTCAGCCTTCCTCCAGATGTGTTGAGACTACCACAATTCCAAGTAAGCATGCTCAAATATTTGCTGGGAATCCAACACATCACAAAGCAACAGACTGAAAAAAAAGTTGTAATTGGTGGGATATATCTATGCATTCAATGTGCTCAAGTACATGAGCAGAGGAGACGTCTTTCAATTAACTTTATTATCCTGTCAAAATCTTAGTGAAAGGGATGGCAGTCTGATATAGGCTTGCAACTGCTAATTAATTTTCATGGAGTATGCAGAAAAGTGTTTCAAGAGAATTATCCCCTTGATGTACCAATAGGGAAACAGCAGGCACAGAGGCATTTGAATCTGTAATTCAATTTGGATTGCACCTATTGAATGTCAATTGTATACATGTATATTTACTGCAGGATGAAAACCCAAAACAGGACATGCATGGGATGGGAGTAAAAAAAAAGTCAAGATGGTGAATGCAACTGTACAACTGAAGCCTACCTCTTTTGTACATGTGTCATCACACACAAAAGGATGGGACTCTGATCATGCAGCTGTGATCACCACTTTGACTTTTCTGACACCTCTGTATAAATGCTGCTGAATCAAGCTACAGCATTTTATCACTAATCCATAGTCACAATTTAAATTTCTTGCCATATTGGCAAATATCAGAAATTTAGCAAAGATTCTCTTAATCAAGAGCTGACTCAGTAGAAAATGATACAGTTTCTAGAATGCCATTCTATTCTCCAGTTGGGGTGGGGAAGGAACTGTGGGGCATCATATAACTTCAACATTATAATATATTCCCTCAGTTCTCTCTTTGTTATGGTACTTTCTAAATGTCAGAACTTTGGCCTAAGCAATAAAAATTAAAATTCAGAACCCTTCCAGTTTACAACTTAAACAGCTTCACTGTGAAACAATTATTTCATTCGAATAAATAGCAACCATATATTTTACATTTCATCAGAACTCCATGGCAATCTCAAGATGCATATGGCACTCTTCTATGAAGAGAAAACTCTTAATTCACTAACATGGTTTTTTTTCACTAACTCTTAAAATTATTGTTGCTTTTTAGGCAAATATTATCAATTCTTTCTGGAAGGGGGCAGACCACAGAATTCTGATTTTTGAATTCACAAAAAATGTGTGTTGAAGGCAATGCAGAGTTTGAACTTGCTCTCAAACCTTTGTTAGCTCAAGCTTGATTTGGCACAGTTTATTTTAAAGATCTGTTGGTACGAGTTTTTAATGGATACCATATATACTTCCTAGAATATAATTCAATGATGGCTAAAGGATATTTCCAATTCTTTTTCAATTTCTTGCCACTGACCACTCCCAATCCACCTTAACCTCTAAACCTTAGGACCTCATCAGTAGCATCACTACTTCCATTACTATAAAGCTATATTTATTTAAATGAAGCAGCTAAAAGAGCTGCCTTACCTAATGCTATTCTTGGGAGGGCTTCCTAGTATTTTCATGTCTGCAGCTCCCCCATTTTTTAGGGATGTTTTATAAACTGCAGTAGAAACATGGTGCTTGAAAAAATCATGCAGAAGTCCTTTGGAACACAATCTACAAGCCTTATAAGTCATTTGAAGATTATGGCTGTCTATACTAGTATTTCCTGGGTGGTGGTGTGGGATGTTGGCCTTATTAAAAACTCTACAGTCCATTTATGGGACTACCACTGCAAAACAGGTATGGCCACAATCAAGTTGTTTCTCTATCATGTATCTCCAGTCAAATCATGAACACAAATGAAAGTCATTTCAAAACTCATTCCTTCTTGAGAGATCAATGTATCTCATTGATTACAATCTCACGGAATCCAAATTGTCCATTGTTTCCTCTCTCCCATCCATACAGTAAGTTCAGAGTCTTTTCCTGGAGTCTTAATCATACACACTCACTACTTGCTGTGCCCTCAAAATTATTGCGTAATGTTAATACATGTATAGACAAAGAAAGGACAAACATGTTCAAAAACAGAGAAGTAGGGGAAGGGGGCTGAATGTGCAGACAAGGCAATATAATTCAACCATCCAAGCCCTACCCGAGCATGAAGTTTTATTTTTTAATATTGCAGAATAAGTTCCCCAACAGTCAGTATTTGTCCCTGAAAAAGGTTAAACCTTAAAACACCTGCTTCCCAAACAAAATAAAAACAAAAACAAAACCAAACCAAAAATCAAAAACCAAAAACCAAAACTAAGCCTATTGGCTTAAAAATTAGAGGCATAGCCTTTTCTCTATTTTTCTCTATTTATATGAAAATAATTCATGCTTCATGCTAAATACATTATTTACCTTACAAGAACTTTTGTTATCTTTGAATTAAAAAGGGGGGTTTTATTTTGTACTCCTGAGCCCCTCCCAGAAAGGTATCCATGCAATTTGAATCAGAATCTTCTGCTGGCTACAGTGGTTATAACTGGAAATATATTGTTATTTTTGCACAAATGTATCCTGGCTATTTAACAGGTACAGCATTTTGAGGAGTACTGTACAGAGTTCTAGTTAAGATTAGGATTTATTGTCCAACCAAATATATTTGTTTTTTTATGTAATATAATACTAATGGCAGGTTTTGTAGCATATGTATTTTGCTTTTCTCATGAGATCCATTTTTTTATCCTATCAAAAAGATTTCCTCATTTTGATCCTCTTTAAATATCTACTCATAATTTTTATTTTTATTTTAAGATTTGATTGCTTTTCACTCAGGCAGTTAAGAACTCATAGCTTGTTTTCCCATAATATTTTTGCAGGCAGTGCCAATCTTCAGGCTTATGGCTTTTTAAAAAACATTCTTTTAATTTAAATATAGAAGACAATTAATTGATTAAAGAATATCACTAATCCCCCCAACCCCCTCCACCCTTTTCTCCTTATATTATTGAAACTCATTGCATACACAGTTCAGTTTCCATAATTTAAAAAGTATTAAGTCTTCACATTATGAGCCATATACAGTACATGAAGCTTAAGTAATTCATTACTGTATGAGCAGCTGTCTTTAGTGGGTATTCCAAGATTTCTATGGCACAAATGCAAGCAAATGCCACTGTCTTATTCTTGATTCTGAAGATGGGCCTCTGACTTCCCTCAAATTTCTGGTTTATACATACGTACATACGTACACACACACACACACACACACACACACTCTCTCTCTCTCTCTCTCTCGTTTAATTATAAGGCTTTTAAATTATTTTACTAAGAGCCTGGCCTGAATCTACCATATTATTCAATTTTTCACTATATAATGTACTTTCAAGTGCCAAATTTTATTCCTCTCACATTAACTGGTGGTATCACAGCGTATTCAACCATGCATTTCTGACAAAACTGCAGAAAGCAATGGCAATTTTGGCTTTTACTTTTTTTGTCTTCATGTAATGAAAAGCTTTTGTAAAATTAGATGAGTATCAGTATGAGTTCTATGGCTTCAATCTCCTTTAAAAAAAACACACAAATATTTTGGGTTCAAAAAAGGGGAAAAAAAGAAAAAGAAAAAGAAAAAAAGAAAAAAAGGGGGAAGAAAAAACTGAAGAAAATATTTTCTGATATTGCCACAAATCATTAGAATTCACCTGACGTGCTGAAACAAAATTGTTTTATAAGTTCAGTCAATGGATTTGTTCTCATTTTTTGTCATGTCCTTTTGCTCTTTCTGCCCCTTTGCCGTCCGATTGGTGATGTTGTTCAAACAAGATCGAATTCCTGCCAAATGCAGGAGCGATCCAGCAGCTTCTTTCATCTCTTCATCATCACTCTCTGGTGGCTTCTCTGTGCGTCTCTTTTTAAGAGGCAGTGTGTCACTTGGTACTTTTTTTGCCTTCAATAAATGCTGACGTTTCTTGTGCTGAGAGGTGAATCCACCATCAGCTACAGAATCCTTGGTCTCTCTTCGGTTTTGCCGTTTGCTCTCATCCTCTGCCTCACTATGGCTCTCGTGGCTATGGAAGTTGACCTCGCTGCCCTCACTACTGTCCCGGTTGCCTTTTGTGACAAATTCGTAATGATCATCAGCAGAAGAAGAGGAAACAGAATCACTAGTGGGTGATGTGCTCCTATGGTTGGAAGATTTGGCACTGCTATAGTTATGATCCTCCTTTGGGTCACCACTCACCAATGGAGAACCACACGACTGCTCGCTATCTGTTCTCATTCGGCAATTTGCTATTCCATTCCTGGGAAAGGAGAACAAAAATAAAAGCATAGTCAAACTCCTTTGAAAAGCTGTATTTTTTTGTATCAACAAGAAAGCAAGCAAGCAAGTCACACATCAAAATGCTGGAAGGAGATGGGTAAAATAGTCACCCTCCTTAGTATTTGCTTGGAATCTTAAAACTGTAAGGAGAGCAGAGTCATTAACTCTGCCAGCAGCAGTGAGCTATTAATTCTGGCTGGCCTGCTGGGGGCAAAATAGATAATTATTATCATTAGGAACGTGAGATTTAATCTGCTTTTTAAAAAAATCAGATCGTTTGAAGGTTTATAGATTTAACTGAGCAGACTAAGAACAAAGACATTTTTAAATTCATTTTGATTCTTGTGTATAATGAAGTAATGAATGGGAGAAAAAGAATAATTTTATGAACCTGTTTGGCTGTTAGGATGTGTAGGAGAAGCTCACTTGTTTACTTATTTAGCTGCCTATCTCAAATATATGACTCTGGGCTTCTAATAATACTTAAAAGCAAGATAAAAACTGTATAACAAAATTATAAATAACATATATAACATCTGAGAAAATTCAACCAACAACAACAATTGACATAGCCATATCGGCTCAGCCACACATCCAGGCCCCAGGCTCAATGAGAAAACCAGGTTTTCAAGGCCTTATGAAAGGCCAGCAGAGTTGGCGCAAGTCTTAGCCACCAGGGGAATGTTGTTCCAGAGGGCAGGTGCCATGATAGAAAAATCTCTTTTCCTGGGTCCCAGCAGATGACACGCCTTAAAAAATGGGCCCAGAGCAAGCCTTTCCTGGTGGATCTAACAGGATGGGTAGATACAACAAGGGAGAGTTGGCCTC